AAAAATTTGCCATACTTCCCAATACAATGCTTCATGATGTGATCCCATCCCTCTCTCAATCTCATTTTGCCTCCCCCCTTGAGGGGGAAGTTTTCCCAGATAACAGGGATGTCTAAACCTCTCCCATTAAATGTGAAGGGAAGCTAGCATTGAAGCTGGCGGCTTCGTTGCACTCATTTGGAAAACACAAACATGAAAAAGTGCCAGGCACCTTGCAATCTTCCTGAAAACAATTCACCCCTCTAAGGAGGGCTCAGATGCTGAATGTACAGATTTCTTTCAGAAAGAGCTGGCATCAGACCCATTCTGCCTTTAAGCTCTGAGATGCAGAACTTTTAGTTCTGCTGATAGTCCCACTTCAATACTGTGCTCTAAAGGCAAAAGGCATCTACCTCAGCTTCAGCCAAGGGAAAATAAACCCACTGCACAGCAGACGAAACTTGTGGTGACTGGCATTATTTATCGATGGATTGATTTAATCCTTTGGCTTGAGGGTGATAACATTTTGCCTTCAAGGAACAGATCCTACTCCATTAAAACACAACTCAACTTACAAGTAAATGCAAACACGTATCAATAGATCTAGTTACATTACTCTGATTAGAAATATGAAGAATTCTTTGAAATAAACCATATGAAAAATGCTGAACAGAACTGAGCCAGCCAGAAGGAAGACAGCAAGAGAAATTCTAGGCATAGGCAACGGCAGGACAACATGGCCATGTCAGCCACGGGTAGGCATAAGGCTGGAGGGAGCACGGCCTGGAGACAGACAGGTGAAGAAGACAGGGTTGTACGAGAACCAGCCAACTGACAGTGGTGCCCAACTGGAATCAATAAATAGGCCGGCGCCGCGGCCTACTAGGCTAATCCTCCGCCTTGCGGCGCCGGCACACTGGATTCTAGTCCCGGTCAGGGCTCCGGATTCTGTCCCGGTTGCCCCTCTTCCAGGCCAGCTCTCTGCTGTGGCCAGGGAGTGCAGTGGAGGATGGCCCAAGTGCTTGGGCCCTGCACCCCATGGGAGACCAGGAGAAGTACCTGGCTCCTGCCATCGGATCAGCGCGGTGTGCTGGCCGCAGCGCGCCAGCCGCGGCAGCCATTGGAGGGTGAACCAACGACAAAAAGGAAGACCTTTCTCTCTGTCTCTCTCTCTCACTGTCCACTCTGCCTGTCAAAGAAGAAGAAGAAGAAGAAGAAGAAGAAGAAGAAGAAGAAGAAGAAGAAGAAGAAGAAGAAGAAGAAGAAGAAATAAATACATAAATAAATAAATAACTATAATTAACACAGCCTGGGAGGTGATGATGATGAGCCTCCTCTGAAAAGGGATCATCAGTCTCTGGCTAAGGTAGCTTACGGTGCTGGTGAGGATAACATCCATTTCCTAACAAGTGCCTTTTGAATGGTTTCGGCCAACAATCTAGAGATTTTCTTTCAATTGACTGACAACTTGACTTCCAAAGATGGGTTTACTTTGGATAAGATGAGCAACCCTGCAGGGAAAAGATTATTCTGCCTGTATAGTCTTAGAAGACACATTAGTGTCTGATGCGTCATATATCTTCTACAGCACCTAACAACATACTCAATGAACTCGGGCTGCAAATTTAAAAATCACCACTTTGCTCATTCTACCTGCCCCCTTCCAATCAATAGATGTCCTCCATAGAAAGAAGGGTCTAACTCTTGCTTTAGTGTTTGCACTAAATAAACCCTCACTCTGCATATTTACTTTCTGCTTAGGAGCCAAGAAAGGACTTGCTAGCACAATTTGATCTATGCACCTGAATAAAACATACCCAAAGTTATTCTTTGCTCAAATGACAGCGATGGCAGCCAGTATATAAATGGGGTCATTTTTGGAAATTGCTCTATAAATCCTAAGAATATAACTGTTAGGCAATTGATATGGAAGATCTGAGAATAAGCTTCCAATTAAAAGGAATAACAGCTACAGCAAGTCTTTAAGCACAAAGCCAAGACAGGTCAAATTTATCTATTAATTCTTGGAATAACATTTAATAATGCTCTCCAAGTACTAAGAGAAAACAAAAAAGAAAATGATCTGGATCATGCAACAGCATTGAGATGCATTGAGAGACAAGAATGGGATTCCCAGGCTCATTTTTATTTTTTACCTCTAGAGAGTACCATTCTCCAAGCATGGGCAGAACCCTTCTGTGTAGTATCTAAAAGCAGTCTTCTGCTGGTAAATATTGACTTGCAGTTGTTACTCTGTTCAGCTCAAATATTAAATAAACAGAACCTCCATTCAGCAGGACAGGGGTTCTCAAACATTGCTGTTTTTCAGAATTTCCTGCACTGCCTGATGAGCGTGCAATGGCCTGAATCCAATTCCATGAAGTCACCCAGGGAGATTTAAAAGCTGACATCTGACTTCATCCTTTGACTGACTGAATCAGAATCTTTGGCAATAAGGCCCAGGAGTTAGAGTGTCCTGAAGTGCAGACCCGGTTGAGGATACCCGCCTTCCTGAGTCTGGTTTAGTGGGTCAGGGTAGGACCCAGCCTTCTCCACGTAATCATCAGCTTTAAAAGTGATTCAGAACCATGTGGCCCGTGGACCCAGGTTAGATCCAAGATCAAGGTAATTCCTACACTCCATGAATCAGTGACTTTTCTATTCTTTGTTGGACAGGCAGAGTGGACAGTGAGAGAGAGAGAGACAGAGAGAAAGGTCTTCCTTTGCCGTTGGTTCACCCTCCAATGGCCGCCGCGGCTGGCGGGCTGCGGCTGGCGCACCGCACTGATCCGATGGCAGGAGCCAGGTACTTATCCTGGTCTCCCATGCGGGTGCAGGGCCCAAGCACTTGGGCCATCCTCCACTGCACTCCCGGGCCACAGCAGAGAGCTGGCCTGGAAGAGGGGCAACCGGGACAGAATCCGGCGCCCCGACCGGGACTAGAACCCGGTGTGCCGGCCCCCCAAGGCAGAGGATTAGCCTAGTGAGCTGTGGCGCAGGCCAGTGACTTTCAAAATGGGCACATCTGACTTTTTTAACAACACCTCTTAAATAAAACTCAGTCCATGTGGTAAGGAGGGAGGATTACTTTAAACAGGATAACCAGGTTTGTAAACTGATTATAGATGGCTCAAGATACAAAATATGTATACATTTGGGGCAACAGTTTGTTTCCATTTGAACATGTTATCATAATTTCATAAGCCAGTGATTGCACCTCTGAGACAAAACTAACTCAAAATGAATTTCACATACAAATTTGTTTTAGAAATAAGCTTTGATTCAGAAAACACTATTTACATTATATAATTAATATTTAAAAGCTATTTAAAGACACAAAGGAAAAGATACAAAGGGAGTCACCATGTCATTTTTTTTACAGCAAAACATTCAAAAGCAAACTAAATACCAAATATTATATACAACTATGAAAATGTTCATTAGTATAGAAAGATCAGCCATTCCAAAACAATGATGCTGCTGTCTCTATAGTAATTAAAACGTCTCCAAGATATATCTGAAAAACAGAAGCACATGTCAGATATATATGTAGCATGAAACCAGTTGTTGGTGGGTGTTTGGCCTAGTGTCTAAAAAAAGACAGTTAAGATGCTCACGCCCTGCATTGGAGTGCTTGGGTTTAATGTCCTGCTCCAGCTTCCCACTGATGCAGACCCAGCTTTGGTCCTAGACAAGCCCTGGCCATAGCAGATATTTGAGGAGTGAACACGTGGATGGGGAGCTGTCTCTCAACAAAACAAACCAAGAACCACACCACACGGTGATAAAAAATAAGCCTGTGTGAAAACGCGAAGACTTCACTAAAAAGTTACATTAGGAACTGATTGTGACGGCTTCCTCCAGGAAGGGATAGCACATGACTAGGGAAATCAGACTGATTTTCCTCCGTTGATATTCCTTAAGCCTTTTTGGATATTTGTACCAACTGATTTACTCAGGCAACATTTTTAAAAATAAAAGCAAGTGTGAACCCTAAGCTTTTAATGGCAGCTTCGTGTGAACAACCCTTGGTATATGGTAAACATCCGATATATGTTTGTTTATTGAATAAATCTGCTATCTTACTTCTATTACTCAAACCTCTTCTTTCCTTGGTGTGCAGGGATGGAGGAGTGGAAGCAGAGAAAGAGTGAAGTCTCATGGAATATGTTATGCCTTAGCACTTTCTGAGTGCTAAGTAGGCATTAGGCATTATGCTAACATCTTGATATATGTTCACCATCTCAGGAAGTTTTATGACATCCCTGTTAAGTAGGTGTTATCAACTCTCTTTTACAGATGAGAAAACTGAGGCTCAGGGCAAGCACAGCAAACTGCATTTTATTCACATACCAACAAATTAAGGAAGCGCTTTTTACATATGTGCAAAATGCTTGGGTGCCCTTCAAAAGTCTTAGCAGGGGAACATTTCTGCATCCTGTTGTAATACAAGCCCGGGGACAGCCTGGGGAGCATGAAAAGGGAGCAGTCCCAGGGGAGAAGCGAAGCAAGGCACGAAGGGCGGCCCCATAGGAGCGGACACAGGGAGGAGGGCTTTGAAAGAAGTCAGGAGGAAAGTTGCGCGAATCCTGTGTTCAGCAGTGCGCTTGGTGCTTTGCGAACAGAAACACCTTTGCATTCGTTTGATCTTACTGCTCCTAAACATCACTGTTTCCAGAATTAGATGAAAAAGCCAAAACTGAAAGAAGCAACTTCTCCAAAAGTTCTAGTCCACATTTAATGTCCCCTTCCTTCCTCTTGGCCTTCTCCATCGGGAATCACCAGCAAGGACTTTGGCGTATAACCCTACATTGCCTATGCTGAAACATACCTGTGTGGGCACACACACACACTCCTTATCTCTCAGACAAGTATAAGGATAAGCTACTTGAGAGGGAACGTTTCCTTTATATCCCTTTAATATCCCCCATTACATGTTTATATGGTAGGCACTAAAGTAGGGTAATGGATTTGTGCTAAACGAAGCCTGCATAATCTGGCTATTTTTATTTTATCTAAAGGTTTCATGACGGCAGATGAAAGGAAAGTATTCGACCACCTCAAATCTCCTCATCTGAAATACTGGGTTCCGTTCATCTGGTTTGGAAATCTTGCAGCCAAAGCCCGGAATGAAGGTAGAATCAGAGACAGTGTTGACCTTCAATCACTGATGACGGTGAGTACCTCACAACCCATCAGTGAAAGATCCCAAGCTCAGAGCTAGAGGACCTGGACATCATCGGTCACCCCAGACAGCGTCTGCAGCTCCCAAAGGAACTGCAAAGCTTGGGCTGATCAGCAGAACCTTCGTAGGCAACACAGAGATAGTACGAACGTTGAACTCACGGCCTGGAAGCTGGGTTTTATGTAGAACTGTGCTTTGTAATAGGCTCTGTCAGAAAGGGTGTCTCCATGAATTAGCCAGAGACTGCCCGGAGGAGCTGGGGGGCACATTTGCCAACCTGGATCCAGGATCCTGGAGTAAGACCTGGCAGAGAAATAAACTTCCCCAAACATTTCTCCCAAAATGGAATAGCTCAGAGAGAAGACAGCTTTTCAGACGCTGCAATAAATAAAATAGTGTTTTCCCTGAATTCATCGGAGAAACAAACCTATGTGCCATGACAACCTCCTGCTTGAATTAGGATAAAAGACCTGTATGATTTTAAAATAGCTCTCAAAGTAACATGGACCCTGTTCCCACTAGAGATAATAACATATGCAGTGGTGGGGGGATCAGTGGATCTCAGTCATTCCTGCCTGAAACACAGATTTTATTTTGTTGTGAGAATTCTAAAGTCCCCAACTAAGGAGGAAGGTTTAGGATATATTTGCTCCTCTTTATTAAGATCTGTATGGCCGGCGCCGCGGCTCAATAGGCTAATCCTCCACCTGCGGCGCCGGCACACCGGGTTCTAGTCCCGGTTGGGGTGCCGGTTCTGTCCCGGTTGCTCCTCTTCCAGTCCAGCTCTCTGCTGTGGCCTGGGAAGGCAGTGGAGGATGGCCCAAGTGCTTGGGCCCTGCACCCCATGGGAGACCAGGAGAAGCACCTGGCTCCTGCCTTTGGATCAGCGCGGTGCGCCGGCCGCGGCAGCCATTGGAGGGTGAACCAACGGCAAAGGAAGACCTTTCTCTCTGTCTCTCTCTCTCTCTCACTGTCCACTCTGCTTGTCAAAAAAAAAAAAAATCTATAGTACACATGGTTTTAAAAAGAGATACAAAATTTATTTGTTCTCTGCACTACTTATCAAAATAGCTAGAAATTGCTTATTTCAAACATTAACCACTTTGGGGCCGGCACTGTGGCATATTGTGTTAAGCTGCTGTCTCCAGTGCCAGCATCCCATACAGGTGCTGGTTCAAGTCCCAGCCACTCCACTTCTGATCCAGCTCCCTGCTAATGTGCCTGAGAAAGTAGCAGGAAATGGCTCAAGTCCTTGGGTCCTTGCACCCACAAGGGAGACCAGGAAGAAGCTCCTGGCTTCGGATCGGCCCAGCTCCAGCCATTTCAGCCATTTGGGGGAGTGAACCAGTGGATGGAAGATCTCTCTCTCTTTCAAATAAATACATAAACCTTTAAAATAAAATAAAATATTAACCACTGCCTTCCATTCAGGTTGAGCCAATATAAATGTTGGAAATTATGGATTCAGTACAATAGGAGATATTTCTATAAAGTCCTGACTTATTTCAAGATTTTTAAAATACACATCCAAATGGACTTATGCCTTTTGCACATTGTCCGATGATGTTTTCGGTCATCAGAACTTTCCTTCCAGAGTAGCCTTGAGAACCAGCTTACAGGCCTTACAAAATCCCCTCATTTGACACATTCACCAAGGTGCACTCACTTTCTGAATCTCAGTCAGCATTTATCGTGACACCCATCATTTCTGTAAATTGTGCTTTATCTGTCCCTGGCTTAGGAAATGAACCGATTCCGCTCTTGGTGCAGCCTCCTATTCGGTTATGACTGGGTTGGAATTCCGCTGGTCTACACCCAGGTATCAGCTCCTTTGCATGTGCTCTGGCTTGGTGCTCTGCTCACTGTGGGCAGCCAACACTCTCCTCTCACCCTGGTTTTTCTCTCTTCCAGGTTGTCACTCTTGCCGTCTACACCTTCTTCTTTGCATGCCTGATTGGACGCCAGTTTCTGGATCCCAGCAAGGGCTACGCGGGGCATGACTTAGACCTTTACATTCCAATCTTTACTCTCCTGCAATTCTTCTTCTATGCAGGATGGCTCAAGGTAGCTGACGGGCTCAGTGCGTGAGGCCCGCTCTGTCATCTGTCCTCTTCCCAACTCCCCGCTGATCCTTTACTGAGTCGTTAGCGAATCCTCCCCGAGCGAGTCCAAGATGGATTTCACTTGTCATAGCTGGGTGAGGTGATTACTTTTCCATCAAGGATTAAAGTGGCAGGGATGCAGTCAGTGCTATGTTGCTGAAACAGCTCATTTCTGCAGAGATTAGCAGAACACTCCTTTACAGCTATTGATTTGTTTCGTGAGTCTGGGTGCTCCCATTAGGATTTCAGTCAGGTAATTAAAGTTGTCATTATACCTGTATTGATATTTTATGCCACAATAATCAAGTAGGCAGAGGAAAAGAGAGTCAACGAGAAGGCTGGTCAGACTTCAGCAGGAATGTTGTAGTAGAGCTTGGTGCCGCTCAACTCTATAAATAGTTCCGCACCTCCCTGAAATCCTGCAACATTAAATGCATCCCGTTTGCTAGATCAGAGCTGAGACTCGGAAAAGCATTCCCCAGAACCAAAACCAGAGACGCGGGGGCTCATGACGACGTGTGGTTTGCTGGGAAATGAGAAGCAGCGCGAGGCAGTGAGAACAGCTCGTCCAGTTCTCAGGGAAGAACTGTGGCTGCCCCTCCTGCCCCCACCTCGCGGCTCCTCCCAGCCCCCACTCCCACAGATGTGTGTGTCAATGTCAGAGGACTCTTCCGTCCCTTTGCCAGCTTCCAAAACGGAAGTATGGGATGGAAAAACACCCAAGACCGTGGCTTCGGTATGCTCACTGAAATCTAGCGACACTTTGAAAACCACTTTCTTGTTAAAGAATTGTCAAGCACGAAGCCTTCCCCGCGGCCACAGGTTGTCACGCAACCGACCAGGCCCTCGGCTGGCAGCAGGATGGGATTTCCCGCGGAAGCCTTTGCTCTCGTTGGTTTGAATCTTAACCAGCAAAAACAGACATGTTTCGGATTATACTCCGAAGAACAAGAGCACATCCTTTAAAAACGGCCAACGCATTTTAACCAGATGACAGCGGTTCTTAATTAGGGTTTCCCATTTTAGAGTGAGAGAATGCAAGAGACTAACACCGCTCACTTCCCAGCAGAGGAAAAATCGGCTTTGCCTTTATCAACGTGAAATTATCACAGGCAGCCGCAGGCTCGCTCGCTCGGGTCTCACTGTCCTTTCTGCTGAGTTTTTATTCGGTTTTGTGTCTACGGAAGGTACTCAGCCAGCATTTCCAGTGCAGAGAATGGGTTTGTTTTTTTCCTTCTGGCATGCTTTCTATTTATTTATTTTTATTTTTTATTTTTTTGACAGGCAGAGTGGACAGTGAGAGAGAGAGACAGAGAGAAAGGTCTCCCTTTGCCATTGGTTCACCCTCCAATGGCCACCGCGGCCGGCGCGCTGCGGCCGGTGCACCGCGCTGATCCGATGGCAGGAGCCAGGAGCCAGGTGCTTCTCCTGGTCTCCCATGGGGTGCAGGGCCCAAGCACCTGGGCCATCCTCCACTGCACTCCCGGGCCACAGCAGAGAGCTGGACTGGAAGAGGAGCAACCGGGACAGAATCCGGCGCCCCGACCAGAACTAGAACCCGGTGTGCCGGCGCCGCAAGGCAGAGGATTAGCCTAGTGAGCCGCGGCGCCGGCCCTGGCATGCTTTCTAAAATGTTAACACTCCCTTTACAGAATATTTTTAAAGGCAAAAATATGAAATGGCATCATCTTAGCTCTGTAAAGAGACAGACAAGCCTAATAAAAGGGAGCTTTCCCACGCCAGTGAGTTTTATCTCAGTTTCTAAACAGCTGCTCTTTCTTGGCAACTTGGACATTTCTAAGTCTTTTCAAAGTGGAAGAAACTCAGATGAACTCTGAACAGCAGACTAGTCTGTTGCTTGCCAGCAATGGAGACAACAAGGGAGGAGGGGCTATCTCTGCCAGTTGTCCATTCGGAATCCTGTAGATGTTGCTTCGTTAAATGCAGCTAATAATACTATATGCAGCACCAACCCTATCTAAGTGAGAATCTGAATGCATTAACGACATATTCAAACCCCAGGCAAGAAAAGGCAGGCAGACCGGAACTCAAAAAAAAAAAAAAAAAAAAAAAAGACCTTGACAATAAGCACTGATTCAGGCTTCCTGCCTCGTGCTGTGGCTTAGAAGGGAAATGGAGTCTGTGGTTCTCAATCCTGGTCCCGCATTAACATCTCCTGGCAGCTTTACCTGGGCTCGTCCTCATGCCAGTGAAGTCAGAATCTCTGGGGGAGAGACCCAGGTATCAGTAGTTTTTCAAGAGCTCCCCAGGTGATAGCAATATGTAGTCAAGTTTGAAAACAGCTGCTCTGAGTGGTTTAACTTAAATCCTAAAAAATAAGTGGGCAGATTTTGTATCAAATAGTCTCAGAATCTAGAAATCTAGAAACAAATCAGATGATACCTTAATCTTATACATGTATAAGTTTTTCCCCATGTGGACCCAAATATAAATCCCTCCCCTCACACAGAGAGAGACAATAAAAAGCAAAGAAAAATTTTCAAGAAAGAGAATGACAGATGAGTCATATTTGACATAGGAACCTCTCATCAAAAAGATGATTTAATTGAGGCACGTGGTAAGAATATTTAATGTCAAGCAAATTTTAGGTGGAGGATGTGTGGTAAGAAGCTACCTAACCTTTTCCCCGCAGGAAAACTTACTGGCTAAGGGTGAGTCCTTTAGGACAAAAGCAGGTGAGTCTCCAGTTCTAAGTTTATGACTTACCAGTTCTCTGACTCACTCACTCACACAGCGATTATGCCCAAGGATTGTGAAATCTCCTGTACCTTCCTCAGTTATAGTTGAAGTCTTTCCTGGCCGTTGAACCTGCTCCGGGCTTGCGTGGTGTCTTATCCCAGGAGCCTCTCTACAGTCCTTGAAAGCAGGTGCTGCTTTCTCCTCCCAGCGCCTTACCTTACACACTGCTGGCGCTGCTTCGATATGCATGGGTTTGACTGGGCTCCTAAACAGCCCGGGCCTTCTCCTGGATAGAGCCTGCGCTGTCACCAGTGGGACAGACAGGTCCATCTTTCATGGTTTGAGAAGCAAATCTCAGTGGCTAATAAATATCAGTGTCTGTAGAGCAGCCCGCTTCCCTCTGGGCTTCATACTGTGAAAGTGACCCAAGGAGCAGAATAGGAATCCTCTTCCGCCTCTGTTCTTTGTCCTCACAGGCTCCAGGGTAACTCGCTCTGTCTTCTCGCCTGCAGGTAGCTGAGCAGCTCATCAACCCTTTTGGAGAAGATGATGATGATTTTGAAACTAACTGGTGCATCGACAGAAATCTGCAGGTTAGAGCTTCTTTCCTTTATAAACATCAGTAATAAATTGCCTGCGATATCTCAAAATCTAAGCAGATTGTGAATGCAGGACCCTGGACTTCAGCGCATTAGCTACAAGTCAAAGGGATTCGCCTATGTAGTATGTTGTCTCGGGGCCTTTTGGATCCCCAAATATCCTGGACGGCAGTCTCAATGAAATTTGAATACAATTTCAAGCTACTTTTCTTTTTAAATTTCTCAATTAGTTTTACCCAGCCTCTTCCATCGGGCACAGAGCAGTATTTTAACTCATTACTTAGTGTTTCCCATTGCCACCCAGAGAGGTTATCAGTGACATCAAAAGGCATCCAGACACAATCTGATGGGAATTCCCACAGTTGAGAGCCCGCAGATCCTGAAGTCAGATGTCTAGCAGTCTGGGCCATGCTGGCCGACTTCTCAAGTCTGCCTGAAATGGACCCCAGAGTCTTAGCCTGAAGTGCTACTCTGGCAGGCTTTTCATGAAGAACCAGGGCGAGGAATTCTTCCTTCTAGATGACTCTCCAACCATTCTCTTCCCTGCGGACCACAGACTAAGTAAACGCCTTCACCTTGTTCATGTTTCCAACCCTTACTCTGCTCTTAAATGGGCTAGAATATTTCACAGTAGATCACGTCGTCAGTATGTTAAGAGGATCAATAGTGCCTAGGTCACTAACTCTGTCAACATTGGATTATTAGGGGCAGGTGTCTGGTGAAATGGTTCAGACACCACTTGGGATGTCCACATCCCATATCAGAGTGCCTGGGTGTGAGTCCTGACTCTGCTCCTGGATCCAGCTTCCTGCTAATGCACACCCTAGGAGGCAGCAGGTGGTGGCTCAAGTAGTTAGGTTTCTGCCACTCATGGGGGGACCCAGCTTGAGTTCCCAGATCCTTGCTTCTCCCTGGCCATTGCAGGCATGTGAAGAGTAAACCAGCAGATGGGAACACACACATATACTCACCCTCTCTCTACCTTTCAAATAAATCAAAGAAATGAGTAAAAACATTTAAAAAAATTTTACCTGGCTTCCCAGAGGACAGGGTTAATAATTTATTCATGCATCACTTTGTCAAATTCAAGAGGAGAGCTCACTATAGCTTCAAGCAGTGCACGCTTGTCGATAGCATCCTCCAAGTGCACAGCCAAACAAGGAGTCAGCACAGCTAAGAAGTGACATCAAGTGCACATGTGTTGATGGGGTTCACAGAATGCGACCCTGAGAATCCTCACCTTCCTATGCCATCTGGGATTAAGTGATTGCTTCAGGGTAGCCACGAAAGGGGAATCTTAACTTTGGGCAGGAGGAAAAAAAGGTATCTGTCCTCCCTCCAGGTCAGGTGCAGCTCCCTTGCAGGTAGTAAACCAAGCATGGGCGGTTAAACAGCCACACCTCCCGCCATTGCCAAATGCTCTTGAGCAGTCAACAATGGGTACGACTGTCTGTGGCAGCAGCAAATAGGAGCAAGAGGCATGCTGTGTACTCACGCATCTAGACCATGTCCTGTCCCTCTCCAACTCCCACCCATCCACGGGAGCTTCTCTTACTCATGTCTTTCCCACCTGAGTCATTCTAACACTATAACGATGGTTTTAGGTCTCTCTTTTAGCTGTGGATGAAATGCACATGAGCTTGCCCAAGATGAAGAAGGACATTTACTGGGACGACTCTGCTGCCCGACCGCCGTACACACTGGCAGCCGCTGACTACTGCATACCCTCATTTCTGGGCTCCACAATCCAAATGGGGTGAGTGCAGCTTTCAAAAACATCTTTCATAAGATGGAAATACGCGGGTCCCTGTTTTGATCTTTTTCCTTTTTTTCTGCACTTAATGGATAAGTCAGCTCTGTTCAGTGGATTTCGTACAGCAGTCTGTGCACCATGAGCCTTAAATAACTGGACTGAGGCTCAAATAAACCATGGACAGTTCAACAATTATTTTATTAAGCTTGATCATATGTTTGATTTTGGAGAAGTCTCTGTGAATGTGTTTCTAGACAATTACATATGCTTGAAGAGACCCACCCACCCACCCCACCTCCAAAGACTAAACTGTAGAAAAGGGGAACACTGGGGCTGGCACTGTGGCGTAGCAGGTTGGGCCTCCACCTGCAACACTAACACCCATATGAGTGCCAGTTCAAGTTCCAGCTGCTTCACTTCCAATCTAGCTCTGCTAATGTGCCTGGGAGGGCAGCGGGATGGCCCAAGTGCTTGGGCCCCTGCCTCCACGTGGGAGACCTGGAGGAAGCTCCTGGCTTCAGCCTGACCCAGCCCCAGCTGTTATGGCCAGTGGATGGAAAATCTCTGTCCATCTATCTCTCTTCCTCTCTAACTCTGCCTCTCAAGTAAATTAAAAAAAAAAAATTTTTTTTTAAAAAGAAAAAGGGAACACTTTGTGGACTTTTCCTTACAACCTCTGGGAAAACTGAAGCTTGTGTTTCCTGAAGCCATCTCCCAGTGGCGCTGTGACATGGTTTGTGTCCTGTCCTTGCCACCTGGGACCCTCCTTCCCTTCCTGCCCATGTGCTCTGCTCTCCGCTTCTCTCACTTTCTGGATCTCTGGCTTCAATCCTACTCCTTGCCAAACGCCTCGTACTTTTCATCAATAATGGCTGATGCTGTTCCTCTTCCAAAGGGGCCCCTTCGAGACCCAAAGAAAAGCCAGGCTGAGAGCAGAATTGCAGGAATCGCAGCCAATGACGAGGAAGCTTTAGCAGCAGGAGATCTGCCTGTTGCCCTCCAAGCACAGCTTAGGGAAGGCTGCCCCTGCCCCGCTAGACTCACTGCTGCCCCCGAGAGCTTGCTAACACTGGGTGCTCCGGCCAGGGCTTCCTCCAGGCCAGGGAGTCCATCCCCACCCTCAGCCTGTCGCTCAGCCTCCGTGAATTCAGTTCCCTACTGCTTGCGCCCCACAGCCTTTGCAATGCCCTCTGCAGAAGCAGAGCTTCGCCACCTTCTGGCAACCTGCTCAGCTCTGAAGATCGATGAGATGTGTTTCCGTGAGCTTCTTTTTAGAGAACTGCCTATGATTCATCCTTCCCCCTACTCCTGCCGCTGGGAATGCGGTGTCTGAAGGTCAGAAACCAACCCTAAGGACAGGGTCGGGAAATCTGTGATGATCCTAGTTTGACAGCAGATGCTCCAGGTGCTCCATTTCTAATGACTACTTAGTAGTTACTTGTGTATGACAAACTATTACTTGGGGTTGTCTCTTTATTAATTTATATTTATTTGAGAAGCAGATAGAGACCTTACATCTGGTTCACTTCTCGACTGCCCACAACAGCAGGGCTAAGCCATGCCAAAGCCAGAAGCACAGCAGAACTTAATCCAAGTCTCCCATGTGTGTGGCAGAAACCCAACATCACCTGTTGCCTCCCAGGGTGCATAGCAGCAGGAAGCTGGAAACAGAAGCGGAGCTGAGAGTCAAACCTCAAACTCTTAATGGCTGCAGTAGATGACTGTCCCCAGATCTCAAGAACTTTTATCTTGGTCTACATATTCATCTTAATCAACATCATTTTACAGATTCCAAGTAAATGTCCATGCTCTTTAGGAAAATATTAAAACATGTTTTTCCTACTCCTAAATATAAAAACATAGGAATGGGGATTTACAAGATCTTGAAAAACAACCCCAAAAGATTATTGGGAAATATAAATGAGATTTTAAACATGAAAGCACCCGAGAGCATGACAATTGCCAGCTATCCAGGTCTTCCTTTCGCGGAGTCAAAGTGAGGCTTAGGAAGATTAGGTAAATCTAAGCTATTTTTTAACTTAAACTCACCCTGGAAATTTAGGACAGAAAATAAAACAACTGAGAGAAGCCTGGGAAATACAGTTGTTAATAAAGCAGCAGAAAATGATCAGTTTTCAGAGAGAACGTCTCATTAAAATGTCCTACTTATCAGTGGATAACCAGGAGAGGCAGGGGCGAGGGTCAGAGTCCATGGGGAGAGGTTTTTGATGGGATGGACTTGGCTAGAACCAAATGATCAGAGAAACAATTAAGCAAAGGCTCCCTTGAACTTGATTTTCTAAGTGAACAAAGGCTTTTATAGGGAGCCTCCAGGAAAAGTCCCTGCAGGGCCACAGTGGGTGGAGGGCAAGCCTGCCCAGGAATGCCCTTCTTGATCTGTTAGTGTCGATTTCTCCTTTGTTTGTAGCATTGGACAAAATGTTTCTAATTGCCTATAACAGAAAACCAGACTCAAACTAACATAAGCAAAAAGGAGTGTATTGATTGAGCCACGCCTCGCTCTGGGCATGGCTGGAGTCACCAGGACTCACTGTTGCCCTCTCTGTTCTGCTCTTCTGTCCACTTCTCAGGCTGCCCACTCCTGATGGCTAAATGGCAGGATGGCAGACAGGCACTCCAGCCTTACAGCCCACCCTCTCAACAAACCCAATGGAAGAAGCTCATTCCAACTCATCAAACTAAACTACCGATTGGTTGGATTGGGCTGTCATATCCATTCTCGAACTAATCACTATCAACAGGGAGACACAATACTTTTATTAGTCAAAGCTGGCTCACATGTCAGCCCCATCTAATCACATGGAATCTGTGATGTGTCCAGAAAATCAGCATACTATTACCAGGTGAAGGGTGAATGGTTTTTGGTGGATTGGCAAAAGTAATAACCCCTAAAATCATAGGAGGCAACTCCCCAAGCAGTAAATCGTGGAGAAAATGCCTACCCGAAATGCAAGGCCAATATCACGCGGGACAGCTGACTGAGGAGAGACAAGAGCAGGGATAATCATCGTGCAGGTAGTTCTGGTGCTAGTGCCCGAGCCCGTGGGTCCAGAGACGGTGGACGCGAGCACTTCGTTGGAGGGCTCCCTGCCAGACGAGCAAATGAAACTCTTTCCTGGATGAGTGTGTGTTTTACTTTCTTACTCTGTTTAAAGTGTATGGTCCTGGCTTATTTAATTCAGAAATCAGCTTTCCCTTATCTTTTCATAACAATGTTTTAGGCTTGCGGTTCCAGGTCCCATGACCCAGAATGTCTAAAAGCAAGGCAATGCCCTTCAAAAACACAGCACAAGCGCTACCCAAAGGCAAACTGCGCAGTGCCTCTGCCTTGTACCCAGCAGTCAGAAATGCTCTCCACATCCCGCACGCTATTCATCATAAAAAGGAACTGCCTTGTTCTCTGTATTAAGGAGCATGTTCAAAACATGGCCCTATTTTCTGAGTACCTGCTAAATATACATGACTGAAGTGAAATTAAAATTCCTGCTTTTTTTCTAATCTCAAGTACAAATTTACAAAGTTTTCATATTATATATATATATATATATGTCACTCCCCCTCTTCGTGGAGGAACGACACAGGACCCTGCGTTGTTCTTTCGTCTGCTCGGCCCTCCCCGGGTTTGCTGCTGGTTCTTCCCGGGTTGGCTACCGTCCCTTCCACCTCCGTGGAAGGGCGGTTCCCCCTAGCCACTTTCCCCACTTCCGCGGGGGAGCGGCACACCGCCGGCCGGCTCTCTCCGGGGCTGCACAGGTGTTCCTTCAGATAGATGTTCCTGGTGCATGTTGTCTCTCTCCTCCTTTATAGTCCTCTTCCACCAATCCCAACTCTGCTACCCACACGCCGAGTACGCTGCTCTCCTCCAATCAGGAGCAGGTCCTACAGTTTATTGGTTGAACTGGAGGCAGCTGTGTAGAAGCTGTTTCCTCCTCTCCCAGCGCCATATTGTGGGAGAGCAGATGCATAGAATAAGTCTTAATTCCAGTAACTTAGTCTAGTCTGAGTTGCTCCCAGTTGCTCCCCACATATATATATATCACTCATTCATTTATTCAGATAATTTTTGCAGATCTTACTATGTGATATATTCTATGCAAGATGCTACAGGTAGGCCAAAGAGAACAAAATGATAGAGCAGGTGTTTAGACCAGCAGTTAAGACCCTTGCATCCCTTATGCCAGTGCCTGGGTTCACATGCTGGCTCCAGCTTTCTACTAATGCAAACCCTAGGAGGCAACAGTGATGGCTCAAGTAGTTGGGCCCCCACCACCCGTGTGTTCCCAGTTCCCAGCTTCAGTCCTGGCCCAGCCCCCATCCTTGTGGGCATTTAGGAGAATGAGCCAGTAAGTGAAAGCATAACTCACTCCCTCTCTCTCTCCCCCTCACACACACAAAGCTCTCAAATATATCCAAAAAACAATTAAGAAAGAAATGGAAAGACAGCCCATTTGGAGCTCACAGGCATAATGAGGAGATAAATTACAGTACAATGTGGTAAACATAGCATTAGAAAAATGCTGACTTTTCTGGGTGTTCTCACAAAGAAGATAGACTTCTGCCAGCTGATGAATCAGAAGGCTTCTCAGAGTCGGGGTGTCTAACAGGTATCTTTAAGAAAGCATGAGGGCTAGGAATTGTTGCTCCCCCACCCGCGGAGGAACGACATCGGACACTGTTTTCTTTCCCCGGTCCTTCCCGGATTTGCTGCCGTTCCCCCGCCTCCGCGGAGGAGCGACACCAGCGAGCTCTCTGACCAACTCTCTCAGGGGGCCCCCGCATGTTGTCTCTCTCCCCCTTTTATAGTCCTCTCCCACCAATCCGTGCTCTGCTGCCCGCATGCTGAGCACGCCGCTTTCTTCCAATCAGAGGTTGGATCAGGAATCAGCTAATTAACGAAGCAGCTGTGTAAGATTTGTTTACTCCCTCAGAGCGCCACATGGTAGGAGATCAGATACATAGAGTTAGTCTTAATAGTCTCAGTG